GGCTTTGAAGTCTGAATTGCTAGTATGTCATGCTTATAGTGAGAGATGCAGTGATTTTTTCTTTAATACTGTAAAAACAATCAATGAAAGTGGAAGTACATAAATAAAAGTAAATAAATAATAAAAATTTCTATTTGTTTAAGTCAGAGTTTTCAACCTGACTGACATGAAAAATATGTGAATTAGACTTACTTGGAAAGCTTTTAGAAAATGTCCAAGCCCCAGCTCCTTGCCAGGCCAATAAATTCAGAATATCTTGAGGTGGGACATTATGCCTCTGAACTTTTAAAGGATCTGCCCTAGACATACTATTGTGTAGGCAGAGTCAATTTAATTTGAAATGTAAATAATCCTCTTTTTTTTTGCATTAATAGTCATAAATGATTGTATCTACGCCATTGCTTTCCTATGAGATTAGGCATTTTTGTTTTTCTGAAATCCAGACCCTACAACAGATCAGAATGAAACATGAAACAATGGCAAATCTTCCAATCACATTAATGCTTTTTATAAATTATTTGCAGAATTGTATTTACGGCCCTTAACTACAGAGATGGGTTGAGAGCAAATAATCTCATCACATCTTCATTTGTGACACTATCTGGTCTTCAATAGATAAGGATGAGAATTGCTGTGTAGAGGGACATGGAGTATTCTTATGTTGTATGTGGGGGGCACATTGTGATTTTTGGTTTGTGTGTGTGTGTATGTGAAGAAAAGTTGGGGAAATGTGCGTTTTAGGGGACTGGATTAGTGAGAGTCACCTTTCCTTGTGAAGCTTTATTTTGAGCTCTTCTGCCAAGGAGGTGAAGAGACAATTAGAGAGGAAATGCAAAGCAAGCGTATTGGAGTCCTGAAAGTCGTACAGTGACTGTGTGTTTACCTGAGGGAGAGGAGATTAGGCGAGATCGTTCTGATCGACATTAATCGGCCCTCTCTATAGGTTTTTAGTAAGCTGAGTTCTGAGCAACAGCTTTGTATCTGACCCGTTGTAGAAGAAATAGTGACTATTTTAAACAAGTTTAATTGTTAGACAATTTTAATTCACATTTTTCTTTGCTCTGTTTGAGAGTTCTTCCTTGCAGAGCGAAACAGAATCAGAATGTTTCTAAAAGATGACACACTAGTCTAACTTGGTCGGGGGACACCTGATAGATAACCTTAGGTTTCCAAGCCAGTAACTAGTCTTGCCATCTTGCTTACGAATTACTGGCAGAGAAAGAAATGTGGCTTTTAAAAATAAATAGCAACTTTCTCATTAGTTGTTTGCTTCACATATTGACAGGTAGGGATATCCTTTGTTTATCGTTTTATTTTGTCTTCATCCTTCAATGAAAGAAAGAAAGTGGAAAACATTATGTGCCTGAACACCAGTGGGTTTGAATGTAGCTCAGCGATTCATATTGTTACTAAGGTTTTTCAATCTGTTCACGTGGCTGTGTTCTCTGTTTTCCATCAGACATATATTCTAAAAATCGGAAAGAAAGGTCTCAGTGAAGATTTTTGTAGCCATATAATTCCTCTAATTCCCTTAACTTATTTTTTTCTTTATTAATTGGTGAGGAAAATGCATGGCTGTTAACGTTAGGTTAAGTGGTAATATTTTGTTCAGTAAAATAAGGTTGTAATTTTTCAAGTGTTGTTATGGTCTTATTAGTGCCGCATTTGGTTTTTATATAAATTAGCCATGTGTGAAATGTGTTAAATCATGACAAGTTTAATTCTTGATCCTGCATTTGATTTATTTATACAATAAGGAAGTTAGTTTTGCTCAAGGAGATTGTCTCTCTCTCCCTTTCCTGTCTAACACACAATTGATTATATGTGAGGCCCGATCCTATGTTTATTACAGGGATTTGCATAAGGCCTACAGGAAACCAGCACCATTTTACTGTGTTCCCATTACAGGACATAAAATGGTGCCTTTGAGTAAAGCTGCTTCATCAGACACTGGTTCTCATGCCAAGTTACAGCCATCAATGGTGAAACGGCAGATGTGAAGGCTAGTTGGCATCAAAGCATATGAGCCAAAGACTTTCCTATGGGAAAGAAAGTGCTTCATTACACTTTATCAATAGTGAGAACATTGGTTCTATCAAGCTGTCTGAAAATTAGAATATGATGGGTTTTATTACCCTAGCTCTGTCAGAGTGAATTCAATAGTTGAAAAGAAAGCGATAACACCATTTTGGGAATTATAAGAAGTGATTAGAGTTTTAGTGTATTTAAACTTGGAAGGGGCAGCTATTATCTTAGAAAGTAGCTTCTCTAAAATATCTGTGGGACTGCAGTTTAATCCCTTTCTAATTGTTACATTTGTAAGATGTAGTAGGGCAGTGCTGGGCACTTTAATTGAAGAAAGAAGTTATGTATTTGTGAAGTGTAAAATCTGAGGAATAATGTTTTAATTGCCTTGGGAAACATGTGCATGGGGCTGCGGCCATTCCAGCACACTCCGTGTTCCCTCCTCCCTTGGCCCTCCCTACTCCACTCTGTGCAAGGACCATTCCTGCTGTTTGTCAAGTCAGAATGGCAGCTCAAACTCCACGTCCCACCTCATCAATCTTAGGAGAGAGGGCCCCACAGGGAGAGGGAAAACTTGAAAGTCAGTTAATATAGCGATGTTGAGCTGGCATGTCAGGTGCTGGATAATGGATAGTAGTTGTCACTGAAAGACTTTATAGCCACTGGTTAAGCGACATTTTGAAGAAAATTCAAGAAGGACATATTTGGGACCCAAAGAATAGGTTGAGATAAATATTATCTAAAAATACCTTGACATTTACAAAATTGTATTGCTTTTCATCTTAGACAAAAACAGCTAAAATGAAAATTCCATTTCTCCTGTGCAAATGCTGAAGGAAAGCATCAATTAATGTTTTTAAAACAAACATACAAGCAAAATACCCAGATTCTCTTATTGGTAAATGATTGAGGAAATTATAATTATTGGCGTTGTGGCTATGAGAGATTTATTGATCATGCTGAATGATTTATTTTGGGGTCAGGGGTTGTTCCAACTTTAGTGTATTAGGAGAGACAAATTGTTCTTATGTCTTTAGATAGTTGATTAATTACAAGGTGAATATCCTGAAACTTGTACTTAATTCAGAATATCCTTCACAGTTAAATGTTCTTGATATTTTATGCATTATGCTGTCTTTTTAGCAAGAAGCTGTTATTATTTTCTTTAAGGCAAGCACGAAGCAAAGTTTATTGAGAAAGAGAAAGGTAGGTTTACAGAGTAAGTGCGAGACACAGGCTTACAGAGCACGGTCCTTTGCCATTGGCAGCCAACAGCCTTCCCCTGACAGAGCAAAGAGGCAGAGGCTGGGAAGCTATTATTTTATTGCAAATGCACTTTATTTACTATCTTTGGTCAGCTGAAATTTCTTTTGCTTATTTCTTTTCCAGTCCCTCAAAGTCCAGAATAGCAGTGATATCACATTGTTCTTTGTTAGTAAGATCTGCCTGACGATATCACACACTCGTTTTTTCTTTCCTTAAGTCATACAGCAAAAGGACGTTTGCTATTATTTGCTGCTGCTTCTGTCTTCAGTGCTTAGGCTTTACTTAGAGACAGTGCCACAGAGTTTCTCCCTGGGGCAGCGGGCAGGATGCAGGGTGGTGCCCCCGTCTCAGGCCCAGTGATCTTACCACTTCCTCATGCATATTCACAAGCAGCAAATATAGTACAGAAATCGTCCCCGACTGTTTATACCCTTCCCTTCATCCCAGATAGCTCCAAAAAGAACACACTGCACCAGGGAGCTTGTTCATAAATGCTGATAATTGTAAACCAGATATAAGATATATCAATAAATAAATAAATCAATAAAAATTGATTTAAAAAGAAACTAAGTTAAACAGTAATGCTGAAGGCCTTAAAAGAAATCAGATTCTGGAACAAGTTGAATCTCTGTCTTTAGGTTGTGGTATTAGTGACCGTGGCAGTGCCGCCAGGTGTTTAATTATCTAATGCTCAAAGGTGAGCACTTTTATCGACTGTTGTATTGAGAGAAATTCTTTAGTGATTTTATAAATAAAAAGCTTTTCAGACGTGTGTGCACGTGTGGGCACGTGTGCATGCATGAGTGTGCTCTGTGGAAATAAGGCGTGCTATCTTAATTAGAGTTAGATGATGAATGATTATGTAATTCATTTTTCTCTACCCAGTTTCCCTATTAAATCTATTTTAGAATAATAGTTCAAGCTTGGCAATAAATTGTACTTCTACATTTCCTGACAGCATTTGAATTATGCTTCTGATTGTTATTAGCCTTTTGTATACACCATAGCGTTAGTGGAGTTCAGTGAAAAGATTTGATTATCTCTAAAGGTAGGTGTTTCATTTATTAAATATCGTAATTACAGCTAATTAGAAGCCATGCGATAAATTAGTTTGCTTTGTAGGTCCCTTGACTGTTTTCAGAACCCTATGAGCTTATGCTTCATTTTAATTTATCTCAAAAACAATTAAATAAGGGCCAAAGAATTGGAAAGCAGCATTAATAATAGATAAAACTGAGTGTTGGGCCTAAACAATAGTTTAATGATTAAATGCGTAGAATAGGTTATGCCGTGAAATCTTAGTCTGCCACTCACCAGGGGTTTATTTAGCTTCTCTGGGCTTTTTGTTCCTATGGGTAAATCAGGGGTATGTGTGTTCTTGATTGTTAAGGATGGGCCATGTAATAAACTCCCTGTAGGTACTTGTGCTGTCCTCATTATGAACCTTTTAAACTTCTGTAGCCGATGAACCCATTTCCCCCAATATGAACACTTGTACTCTTTGCAAATACAAACAGGTTAGCTAAGGCGATGTGAGATCCAACAATGGCATTCTCCTTTCATAACGATTTGATCCTGATTATTCAAAAATGAATATTCGGGATTACTTTTTGGTATTGCTGAAAAGACAAAATACACAAGGAATCCAGTTCCATTCATACAGTATAGATGGACTGTCTTTATATTTCAGATTAATATCAGGGTACAAATGAAAATGACAACACTTCACAAATGTCCGTGTCCTCCTCGTGCAGGGGCCATCCTGATCTTCTCCGTATCGTGCCACTTTTAGTGTATGTGCTGCCTAAGCAAGCACACGGTCTATTTGAAAGAACATGTTTTATTTTTTCCTGGATTTACTTTCAGGCAGCTTTTGCTCTATGGGCCCCATGATTTCAAGTGGTGCTTCCACTTACCTCTACATGGATGGCATAATGTACATAATCCTGACGGTAAAAGACGACAATGACGTGTATTTTGAAAACGAAAATGGCGGCTCAACTCTTTGTATGTCCTTTTTTTTTTTTCCTTTTTTCTATTTTTAAATTTCAGGTTAACCTGATGATACAAACAACTGAATCACAGTACTTGAATTTGTTGGGTGGAGTCTCTCTTTCTGTCCTGCACCCCAAAGGTGTGCCATACACTCCTATGTTGTGCCCATTATTCAGTGGGAGCACGCCTGCCCCCTCCCCTCCCCCATACCCCCTTCTCCCTCCTCCCAACGTGAATGGAAATCCTTTTCTCCTACATAGGCATGAATTAGATTGTCTACTGGCTTCATATTGGTACTGAGCGCATTGGATACTTGTTTCTCCACTCTTGGGATACTTTACTGAGAAGAATGAGTTTTAGCTCCATCTGGATTAATACAAAAGTTATGAAGTCACCATCTTTTTTACATCTGAATAGTATTCCATGGTATTGTACAATGTCTGTGGCCACTGAAAGCTCCCTCGTCCTCCTTCCTCACTCATTCTTATGATATTTCCTTTCTAATCTCTAATCTCTTACTGTCCTGGCCCTGCTGCCTCCTGAAAATGAGGGCTAGCCATTAAAGGAACATTGTAGCATTTTGCCTTTGTTTCTTTCTTTGGAGTCAGGAATCCTTTGTACAATGTTAAAAGAGGTAGTTTTTACTATAAAATTCTTCAAAGAAGTTTTACTATGTTAGGCTAAAAAATAAGGCTAGGTTTTTATTTTGCTATGGCTTCTATTAAAATGTGTTTGTCTGTTGAGTGCATTAAATGCACCCAGTGGAACTGAGGAACAAAATTTGAAATTTGAACTGTTTAATTTTAATTGAATTGACATTTTAAAACTGAAGCAGCATAAGACATTTTTCCTTTAAACTCGAAATTATATTTTATTTTAATCTTTGCATCATGTAAGATGTATTATTGAGCCTGTGGTGGTACATGAGTTATTTTTAGTTAGATACATAAACACATCAGTGATTTGATCAGTAGCAATGGATCAATTCGGTTCAAATGATTTTTTTCTCTATATTAAAATAACATTGTAATATGTTTATTTAAAAATTTTATGCAGACAGTGCAACTTACAACGATAACTATGTAAACCATATTTAACTATGAAATGCAGCCTATTATGATGATCAAAATATGTTTATATTATTTTCTAGTTTAAAAATGTCTATGAGCAAATTTTTATATTTTATTTCAATACATTAAGAGGACACAGAGTGTTTTCTTACATGGGTGACTAGTACAGTGGTGATGTTTGGGCATTTAGTGTATCTGTCACTCGAACAGGATACATTGTACCTAATACATAATTTTCATCTCCTTCACCCTCCACCCATCCTCCTCCTCTGAGTCTCCAATGTCTATTATGCACTCTGTATGACCATGCATACCCAGAGCTAGTTCCCACTTATAATTGAGAAATGCTGTGTTTGGTTTTCCCTTCCTGAATTACTTCATTTGGGATAATGTCCTCCAGTTACATTCAAGTTGCTACAAAAGAAATTATTGCATCCTTTCTGATGGCTGAAATAGTATTCCATGGTGTGTGTGTGTGTGTGTGTGTGTGTGTGAGTGTTACATTTCCTTTATGTACTCATCAGCTGAGTGATACTTAGGTAGATTTCATGTTTTCGCTACTGTGAATTGTACTGTGATAAACCACTCTGTACAGGTGTGTTTTTAATATAATGACTTCTTTTTCTTTGGATGGGACCCATAGTGAGATTGCTGAATCAAAATGGTAGATCAACTTTTATTTCTATGCGAAATCTCCATACTATTTTCCATCGAGGTTGTACTTTTTTCATTTCTACCACAGGGCATAAGCATTCCCTTTCCCCCGCATTCACACCAACACCTGTTACAACGTCTATTGTTTTTTGACCTTTTAATAATGGCTCTTCTCACTTTGGTGATGTAGTAACTCATTGTGGTTTTGATTTGTATTTCTCTGATAATTAATGATGTTGATTTTATGCATATACTTGGTGGCTACTTGTGTCTCTTTTGAAAAATGTTCGTTTCCTTTGCCCACTTTTTAACGGGGCAATCTGTGTTTTGTTAATTAATTAATTTATTTGCTGATTCGGGTTCCTTGAATATTTCTCCCCCTATAAATCAGTTTGGGGTGTATGGTCATTTTAATAACATTGATTCTCTTAATGCCTAAGTATGAGATAGTTTTCTATTTGTGTCATCTACAATTTCTTTCATCAGTTTATTAATTCTCCTCATAGAGATCTTTCACTTCCTTAAGTGAATATATTCCTAGGTATTTCATTAATTTCTTGCAGCTACATTCTGTAAAGGACATTGAACTCCTGATTTGATTCTTGGCTTGGCTGTTATTAGTGTATAGTGTTTGCTACTGATTTTGTACATTGATTTTGTCAGTGGAGACTTTACTGAATTAATTTACCAATTCTCAGAGTCTTTAGGATTTTCATGTGATAAGCTCATATCATCAGCAAAGATAGTTTGACTTTTTTTTTCAATCTTCCTATTTGGATGCCCTTTAGTTCTTCCTCCTGCCCTGTTGTTAAGGCTAAGACTTCAATACTGTTGAATAGTAGTGGTGAAAGTGGGTGTCCTTGAAAAGGTGTCATTAAAGTCAAATAAAGCAGGAATGTAGATGCAGGAACTACAACTAGAACAGTAAAGTATAAGCAAGTGGAGGTAAAGATGTGTTGCTAGTTTCACTATAAATGGCAATTGCATTTTGCTGCAGCAGAGCCAAATGGAAAACCTCTTTATTGCCCAAAAAGATTTTTTAAAGATATTAAAATGTCCTTTATTAAGACCTATCTTCAGAAAATTATATAGTGAATTTGAACAGTTTTCTCTTAACTTTAATGAAAGAACCAAGGAAGCTAGTTAACTAAACTTAGAGTCAAATAATAAATTTTAAAATGATTTTTAACAGAATCTGAGATTGTACCTTTGTTTGGACTATGATACAATAGCATAAATTCTTGAACTAAAAAGACCATTTTTAGATAGGAAAATAGTAAAATATAGTATTTCAGTTTGGAAATTTTGTTTGAAAACTGTGAAGATAAGATTAAAAGGATTATTTGACAATAAGTAAAAAATCTTCAATTAATTCACCAAACATTTGGCCATAACATACAAGAGCTTTCTAACAATATGATGAGACAGTTGATCCAAAACATTAAATTTTCCTAGTACATTTTTAGATTTTGATGAATTACACAATGTGAAAAACTGCCAATAAAGACTTTGGGTAATATTTCTTCACAGCACTTAAATATTTGAGAAGTGTCAATTTTTGAACCAAAAAGGAATTAATGGAATAGACTTTGGGGGGTAATTTTAATAGCTATCAAATATGGATTTCAGCTAGAAATAGAAAATTTAGTTTATTAAACAGTGAACACAATGCTTAAACCTCCAGCTATGTTATGTAAAACAGCCCTGATTTATTAAAATTTTATTAAATAAAACAAATGGCTAATATTTTCCTTATGGCTTCAGCTTTGTACAAAGCTGAAATTGTGTTCAGTTTTCTGAAGCAGACTCTAAGTCAAGTGCTATGGACACAGCTGTTTTGCATAGATGTGTAAATGCTTAGACTCATTTCCAGTTTATAAATTTGTCAAAGGAAATAGAAGGCATTGAATGTACTGGTTTTGTGGGTTTTGCCAAAATACTCATTAGTTGAGTCAAGGAAGTTATATAAATATTTACGGCAATGTCAATTCAAACTTAAATTATTATAAAATTAAAGAAATGATTGCCAGATATTCAATCATCAAAGATAAAACCTGACTTCAGCTAATCAATCATCAAAGATAAAAAATAACATCTTGCTTAATTTTTTTTTCCCTTACTACACTTGCAAAAGTGAACTAAACTTGAATCTCCAAAGAAAGAAAAAGCAGGGCATCTAAGCTGTGGTCTGTGGGCCAGGAGGATTATCTGAGGACATTTTTGCTTCTCTGTGGTGGCAGATATGGCAAAAATTATGCATGGACCTTTTTTTTGCTCATCAGTCTTCATTAGTCTGTGTGTTCTGAAATGCTAAATGTTTGGCCCAAGACAACTCTTCTTCCAATGAGGTGCAGAGTAGCCAAAAGGTTGGACACCTCTGATAGGTAGATAGTCCCACTAATTTAGAATGTAGTAGAAATTTTTCCTAACAGAACAATTAGATGATTTTTCACATTTTTCTAATATGAATTAATATATGGGAGATTTTAACTATTGACAGTATTATGTAAATCTTGGAGCTGCACAAACTCCATGTAAAACTGCAGAACACTGTTCTGAGGTTGATGAAATTAGAGTTGTTTCTCAATTGTTTCATTTTCCTCTTTGTTAAATGTTAAAATTGTTAGTTGGCCTAAGAGTTAGTGAATTATTTTACTTGGACCAATGAACAGATACACCTTTTGAAACTAGAATGCTTTGGCTTCAAAGTAAAATCATTTTTACAAAGTTAAAAAGACAAAGTACTTTTGCTAAAAGATAATGGCATTATGATGATGATGATGATTTTTTTGAGACAGAGCCTCAAGCTGTCCCCCTAGGTAGAGTGCTGTGGCATCACAGCTCACAGCAACCTCCAACTCCTAGGCTCAAGTGAGTCTCCTGCCTCCGCCTCCCAAGTAGCTGGGACCACAGGCACCTGCCACAACACCCGGCTATTTTTGTTGTTGTTGTTGCAGCCGTCATTGTTGTTTTGGCAGGCCTGAGCTGGATTCGAACCCGCCACTGTAGGTATGTGGCTGGCACCTTAGCCACTTGAGCCACAGGCGCCGAGCCATTATGATTATTATTAAAGGATATTGTTTGGGTACTTAATTCA